AACGTGGAAGCTTTCCCTATCCCCTTCAAAATCTCAATTTTTATCTACTGGTAAATTTAGTTTCTCTTTGGTAATTAACAAGACTTTTTACTCAATTACATTAGTAAATTAGATTTTGTTAGAGATTTACGTGTTTCCATCTCTCCCCTTTAATTTCCTCTACTAAACAGGTTGAAATCATTTGTCGAAAAAGCTTTTTTTGTTTCTAGCCGTATTCTTCAAATCAATTGTTCATCCTGAACTAAACTCTTACCGCAAATGCTTGACGACTTCTATATCCGGCCCATCTTAGAATATGCTTTTATTGTTTGGTCTCCCCGCGCACAAGCCCCTATTGAACGCTTGGAGAAAATTCAGAGGAGGTTCACAAAAGTCGCTTTATGGAAAATTGACTATTCTAAAATATTCTAGCTTTACTTATGAGGAGAGACTTGCTTTTTTGAACTAAAAACTTTACAGCATCGTCGCTTTGCTGTCATTGATTTAGTCGAAACTTTCTCTAAAAATCCTCCGTTGTAAACAGATTAGCCCTTTGTTTATAGACTTTTTTCAAATTTAAACTGCGGTCAGGGCCCAGAAGTGGGCTCATTCTCTTTGCAAATTCCCTTTGCTTCCAATGCCTCTTTATCAAATCTATTTCCTGTTATTAGAGCCGCTAGATTATGGAACTTGCTCCCCAAACGACATACGAGAAATTCAGTCGCTTTTCATATTCAAGAAACGTATCGATGCTTTAGATCTAGTGGGTCGTCGCCATCAGGCAATTTACTTATTGATTTCAGTATGTATTGTATGATTAAGTATCACTGTGCATTTCTCTATCATTTCCTACTACTTTATCGTTTGAATAAAGTATTATTATTTATTATTTATTTATTTATTATTTATTTATTTATTATTTAAACCTTTATATTTGTTTTTACTTTATATAAACGTCCTTGAACTTTACTTTATAATCTAGCAGCTTTATTTGCATGAATAACATTTTTCATAGCAGCTTTGTCCAATTCTTTTGTATTTTTAGACGTTAATCAAACCTCTAACAATTTTGTTTTATGTTAAAAAAATTTTTTTTTTGGAATTTTTGGAGAAAAACACATTTGCATGCTACTGAACTACTGAACTCCAAAAGCTTAAAAAGCTTAAAATTTTATAGATTCCAGCAAAAAGCTGGAAAAAAATCTATGAAAAATCAGAGTAAAACTATTAACAATTAAACCAATTACTTTTAAATTTCTACTCCCGCTTTTATGACTTCTCTGCGGCCATAGGCGAGAAACTGCGCGTTTATGATTTCTTTCACTTTATCGTTTGAATAAAGTATTATTATTTATTTAAACTATGTAATCGATGAAGCGTTCATTTTTAAAAAGTATGCAATCACTCAAAAATAGCTCAAAAATATATTAGCTCTCATCAATGCTAGAAACCAGGATCTTGAACTCTTACATTAAAATAAAAATAAAAATAAAATAAAAATAAAAATAAAATAAAAATAAAAATAAAATAAAAATAAAAATAAAATAAAAATAAAAATAAAATAAAAATAAAAAATAAAATAAAAATAAAAATAAAATAAAAATAAAATTAACATTAAAATTAAATAAAAATAAAAATTAGATTAAAATAAAAATTAAATTAAAGTAAAATAAAAATAAAAATAAAATAAAAATAAAAATTAAATTCCATTAAAATGCCTGAAAAATTCTAAAATAAAACATTTTTCAAAAATTCAAAAAAGCCATTTTGTAGATTAAGGATAGGGCTTTTGAATGAAGCAAACCGTTTTTTGATTGGATAAGCCGTTTTTTCAGAAAACACGGTTCCAATATGGTTCCAATATGGTTCCGATTATGATACAAATATGGTTCCAATATGGTTCCGATTATGATACAAATATGGTTCCGATTATGATACAAATAGGGTTCCAATATGGTTCCAATATGGTTCCGATTGTGATACAAATATGGTTCCACATCGGTACAATACGGTTCCAATACGGCACCAAAACACAGTAATGTTTTTCAGAAAACACATTACCCAAAAACGATCGTTTATAACTTGCGAACCTAATATTTTCTTTTATATTATTAATGTTAAAATATAAAAATTACGATTAAATGTCTCAAAATCAATCGAAAAATGTTTTCGTTTTAGATTTTAATTCCACTGACGAATTTTCCAAGAGAACCAAGAGAAATGAAAGAGCATTGGGATTGGGAAGTGCGAGCATTGAGGAGGAAGAGACAGGAAAGCAGGCAACGGGAAGAACGAGTTGGGTTTATAAGTTTTTTGGTTGAGATTTCAAATTTGACAATCACATAACTCAAGCATTGCGGTCGTATTTGCCGTAAGAATTTGAAATTATCTGTAGTCAAGATTGATTCGTCTTTCTGAATTCAATATTGATTCAATGGTTGACGGCAAAAAATAACGATAAACAAATCAAATGAAAAATACTATCGCAAACACAAACGCAGAGTAAAGAATGGAGTGAATTCCATTTTGTTTTGCCTTCAGCAACACAACTGGTAGACTGGATCGAGTGCAAAAGTTTTGCAATAGTCCAGAAGATGAGCCTTGTCCTCTTGCCTTGTTTCCATTCATGAGAGTCTTGAGCTTGAGAGTCAGCAACACGAACGGTTGAGAGTCAGCAACAAGAACAGCTTGTGAGTCTTGAGCTTGAGTCACTACTCAAGACTCTCAAACAAACGCAAACAAACCGAATTCCATCTTGCTTTGCCTTCAGCAACACAACTGGTAGACTGGATCGAGTGCAAAAGTTTCGTAATAGTCCAGAAGATGAGCCTTGCTTTCGTTGTTTCCATTCAACTCCACAAATCATCTTACAGCTATTTTTGACATCGATAAACATCTTTATTGATTTTTAATCCGGAATCAATGAAACCAAAGAAATTTTGCCCGTCCATTGCACAAATATCCCCAAACCATCACAGGTTTCGGATTTTTTGCGATGTTAAACGACCGAAGAGTTGCCGGGCGAGCTCGTTGAACAAATTTGGATCAAATTTGGATCAAATTGCTTCGCTTTCGTTACCTTGCTTTCGTTGTTCTCGATTCAACTCTCCAACCTCTTTCTTTCCAATCCTCCGATCCGATGGATGAGTGAAAAAACGCACCCTCATCGTTTTCCCTTCATCTCGAAAAAATTCTTTGCTAATGGTTCGTTCATTATCCGACAAGGATCGACATCGACATCGACATCGACAACCCAGGGGCGGGGTCAATCTTCGTAGAGTTAATCCTCTTTGGTTAATCTTAAAGTAGAGTTAGGTTAATCCTCTTTGGAGGTCGGCCCTTCTTGACTGGAGGCTTTTTTGTAGAGATTGTCGGCATGCTTTTCCTTGTCGTACCCTTTGCGCAGCCATACTAACAGTCGTTTCAGAAGCACTCACATCGACACCAGCCACATGCAGGGCTCCAACCCAGTCCTGGGGTACACTTCTTGTCGTACTCACGTCGAGACGTGAAAGGGGGTCATGTTGAGTTGGAAGGAAATGTCTCCTGCCTCTGCTCTTGTAGCGACTCCTGGGTCCGAGCATCGAATCTGAGCGTACCAGCGCAGAAAACCCTTCTTAACACGATAAAAGGAACCCAGTAAGTTCGACACACCGTGTGTAGAGCCAAAAATCACCTTCAGAGGCCTAGGTTGAAATGGAGAGAAGATGCCCATCCTAAATGATTGGATCACCATTGCATCTAAGTCATATGAAGGTCATATGAAGCCAAAATCGCATCCAAAAGGTGACAATCCGCTGCTCTTCTAGTATACGGCGTCATGGCGGGATGGACGGGGCTTCGAGGCAATCCGTCAATCACCAGGTGGTAGTCGCTTCCGACTTTCTTCGCGAGATCAACATCCTCGAAGAGTAGGGCAGCTTCATTGTTCCAATCGGTAGAAGGGTGGTATGGATGGTGTACGAGATTCCTCATCAGCATACTTCTCGGGGCGCTTCAGATCGGTAGATGTAGAAGTAGAGTTGCGGTATCTCGCAACAACCTTAAACTTGGGGAATTAAAAATTAAATTAAAACCTAAATTAAATGATTTTAAAACGACAAAGAAACGATTAAATGATTTGAAATTAAATGATTTGAAATTAAATGATTTGAAATTAAATGATTTGAAATTAAATGATTTGAAATTAAATGATTTGAAATTAAATGATTTGAAATTAAATGATTTGAAATTAAATGATTTGAAATTAAATGATTTGAAATTAAATGATTTGAAATTAAATGATTTGAAAATGACAAAGAAACGACGACGCGGCGCTCCCATCGACTACCTCCAAATGGCGGCGGTGTCAATTGAATGCGACGTTGCGCGAAAACTTGACATTTGACAATAAGATAAAATTAAGATTTAAAATTTAACATGAAAACAGAAATTCAACCTTTAACATGAAATGCCGTGGATGCCGTAAATACTCTAATAGAAGCCTCCTCCTATAGGAGCATCGCGTCATCTAGTTTACTCTCAAACAAACGCTCATATCTCGACACCAGTACATTTGTTTCTGCGCGCTTAGGTATTCAATTAAAGTAGAAAGGATGGATGATTTTTTGAGATATAACACAAATTTTTAGAATAAATCAGCGCTTAGAACAAAATGATTGAAAAATAATGAAAAATCAGCTTTGAGGATAATGGGATAAAGGATAACGAAAATGCTAAATTAAAATGAAATGAAACATTCTAGAGTCCTCTGCCTGCATCATTTGATTGGCGCGATCAAGATTTGGTGCCACCCAAGAGAAATCAAGGACGATGTGCGAGCTGTTGGGCTTTTTAAGTGATAACTTTATGTTTCTTTTGTTTGTTTTTTTCTGTTTGTTTTTTCTTTTGTTTTTTTCTGTTTGTTTTTTTCTGTTTGTTTTTTTTTTGTTTTTGTTTTTTCTGTTTGTTTTTCTGTTTCAAAATCTCCTTTGAAAATTATATGCAAATTTTGAATCTATTGAAAGTCTTCTTATTTTCAGTGCGGCTGCCTGTCTTGAGATTCAATACTCACGAAAGTGGCCTGATTATGAGTTCATCGATTTGTCCGAGCAGGTATTATTATTCTTTTATTTTGATTTTTATATCATTATATTCACTCGAACGGATTATTTCCTTTAAAAACAGATTTCTTTCAGGAAATGTCTTGTGTATATCCGAATAAGAAAACGATCTGCAAGGGCGGCTCTCCGACTAACGCTTTCTAGTGAGTTGGCTAGAATTCTCGTAGTTAGAAAAAATTCAGTACTTAATAAACTATAAGCAAAGTTGGAAAGAACGTTGAAGTTGGTGAGAGTTAACAAAGTTGGAAAAGATTCCTTATTTGTGTTCTGTTATCGCTATTCAAAGCGTACCCAAGGCCACGACGTGGACGAACAGATATCAGCTGTATTTTCTATTTTCAATCTATTCGGCTACACAAAAAACAACAACAACAACAAGAGGGCCATCAAAGCCACACCTCCATAAAACCTCAGAAAGAAATAAGCACAACTAAAAACTATCGTCCTTGACTCCAAGCTCATTACTGCAAACTCAAAATTTCAAATTGTTTGAAAGATCGTACCTGTGTGGGCGGATTGGGCTGCTCGTTGGACTTCGTGGGCTTGAGAGTCAGCGACATGGACATCTTGAGAGTCAGCGACACAAGCAGCTTGAAAGTCAGCGACAAGAACAGCTTGAGAGTCAGCGACACGAACAGCTTGAGCCTAAAAAACAAAAATATTAATTACAGTAGCGGACATTAACTTACGATATTTTTCTTCTTATCATAATTTTTTTCTAAACACGCAATGAGCTAAAATCAAACTAATTATATAAAAACAATTGTATTTTGATATTCTGAGTTCAAAACTTAATAGCATTAAAAAAATTCTTTTAGAACAAATTTATTAAAACTCGCGACGACATTAACTTACGATATTTTGAAAAACAAGCTCCAACAAATAATGCAAAAAAAATTAACAACATATAACCAATAAATATTGAGTAAAAACGTTAATACTTTGTTGGAAACCTTGGCATCAATTACGGCTTTACAGCGACGTTGCATTGACGCGATGAGATTATCGATCGTTACTTGGGGGATCTCTGCCCATTTCTTGACAAGAAGATCAAATTTTTCCTTTGAATTTTTCGTTTTAAACCCTTTGCAGCTTTTTTCGAGTACGTCCCATAAATGTTCAATCGGATTCAAGTCCGGACTTTGACTTGGCCACTTTATTAATTGAATTCCTTGTTGAGTGAACCATTGGGAAACTCGATGTGCAGTATGCTTTGGGTCGTTGTCTTGTTGATAGATCAAGTTTGGTGGCATAAAACGAGTCACACTTGGAAGCATATGATTTTGCAAGATGTCTAAGTAAACATCTTGATCCATAATGCCGTTTATGCGCTTCAATGCCACCAATCCAGTGCGACGAGAAACCTCCCATACAAAGTTACACTACCACCTCCATGTTTCACAGTCGGCAAAATATATTTGGGATCAATTTTTTTATTTGGAGGACATCGTACAAAGTGCATACCATCAGATCCAAACAAATTGAACTTACTTTCGCCAGTAAAAAGTACATTTGCCCATTGTTGTGGGGTCCAGGTAACGTGATCCTGAGCGAATTTCACCCGAAGCTTGCGATTCTTGAGAGAAATTAACGGTTTGTGAGCCGGGCGTCGTCCGAATATCTTTGCCTGGTTCAGTCGGCGCTGTACTGTTCGAGGAGAGATTGTTTCCTTCACTCGTTGTGGCAGCTCTGCACGAATATGTCTTCATTGATCCATCTTGGAGAGCTCAGGAATTCGATTATCATCTCGTGGAGTGGTCTTCCGAGGCTGTCCTTTGTTCTTCTTCGCAGCAGTAGATCCCAGTTTGTCGATAACGAGCCAAAATAGACGAGACAGTACCTGGGTTATCGATAAAAGTTGGGCGATCGCCTCTTGTTTGATCTGTTGCTGGTGAAGTCGCAGCACACCCTCCCGTTTCTCCGTTGACACCTGTTTTCTTCTTCCCATCTCTAAAAATGAAAATAAATAAAGATTAAATTATAAACAAACAAAAATCAAGTATAGCAAATCAACATAACAAACATTAATTCGTTTTTCAAAATATCGTAAGTTAATGTCGTCGCGAGTTTTAATAAATTTGTTCTTAAAAAATTTTTTTATTGCTATTAAGTTTTTGAACTCAGAATATCAAAACACAATTGTTTTTACACAATTAGTTTGATTTTTAGCTCATTTGCGTGTTTAGAAAAAAAATTATGATAAGAAGAAAAAATATCGTAAGTTAATGTCCGCTACTGTAAATCATCCAGCCTGTGCGAGCGATATATTAGTTTACAAAAGATTGGATACTTTGATAATTAAATTAGTCTATTTTATGAGAAAAATAAAAGAAGGGAGGGGCTGTGAGGGAGTGCCGGCAAAAATGGCAAAAGGGAGGGCCAGAAAAAAGCCGTCACTGAAATTGTCAAAACGCTAAAAACGGCACGCAACTCGGCAACTCGCAAACGGCACGCAATATTCTTAAATCAAAAGAAAACGATCGTAATTTTCTGGGCTGATTCTAAATATGTATCTGGATTTTCTGTAGCTCTGGGGGCAGATCGGTGACAGACAGACAAAGGATTCGTAATTCTATATAGTCCATCTCTTTTTCAGCCATTATATGAGAGGAAAAGGAATCGGTTTTGAGGAGGATTGGCCCTATAATCCATATGGAGATCAAACTTGTTACACGGTTTGTTTTTTTGTTGATGTTTCAAGAGGTTAATGGCTGAAACAACACCTTGTAAACTGTTCACTAACATTCTTTGTCTATATTCGGTTGACAAGTCATAAACGATCGCTTGCTTTGTTCAATGATTTCTTAGATTTTAGAATTCTTAGATAGATTTTTCGTGGAGTTTGATTTTTCTGCAAAAACTACAATATTTTAGGGTAAACTTAACACCCCTTGCAAATTTCTGAGGCCCTATTTTCTTGAAAAAAATGGAGGACGACAAATTGCATATTCGCGCAGCTATGCTCTACGATTTTAAACAAGGAAAATCAGCCGCTGAATCTCATCGTACAATCTATTGTTGTTGTTGCTGTTGTTGTTGTTGCTGCTGTTGCTGTTGTTGTTGTTGCTGCCGCCGCTGTTGCTGTTGTTGTTGCTGTTGTTGCTGTTGTTGCCATTGCTGTTGTTGTTGCTGCTGTTGCCGCTGTTGCTGTTGCTGTGGATTGTTGTTGCTGTTGCCGCTGTTGCTGTTGTTGTTGTTGCCGCTGCTGTTGTTGCTGCTGTTGCTGTTGTTGTTGTTGCTGTTGCTGCTGTTGCTGCTGCTGCTGTTGTTGCTGCTGCTGTTGTTGCTGTTGTTGTTGCTGCTGTTGCTGCTGCCGCCGTTGCTGTTGCTGTTGTTGCTGTTGCTGCTGCTGCTGTTGCTGTCGGATTGCTGTTGCTGTTGCTGTTGATTGTTGCTGCTGTTGCTATTGTTGCTGTTGTTGTTGCTGTTGCTGTTGTTGCTGTTGCTGTGATTGTTGTTGCTGTTGCCGCTGCTGCTGTTGTTGTTGTTGCTGTTGCTATTGTTGTTGCTGTTGCCATTGTTGTTGCTGTTGCTATTGTTGTTGTTGTTGCTGTTGTTGTTGTTGTTGCCAGTTACTGTTGCTGTTGTTGCCTAAAACGATCGTTTATAATTTGCCCAGCTAATATTTTTGATTTTTGAGCGCTTTAGTCCGCCAAAAGTGAAAGTGACATCAGTGAGAAGCTTGCTGCCATTTGAATGGACAAATTGAAGAAAGCGATTATTAATGATGGACCAGTGGCTGTTGGTAGGAGAATGAATTTTGTGATTAAATAAACTTTTAAGGAATCTATATAAATTGGGATTTCATGTACTACAAAGGAGGAGTTTTTGATGTGGATTGTGATGCGAATACAAATTTGGGAGGGCATGCTATGGTTATCATTGGCTATGGTAGGTGATGGTTGTGCAAATGGTGAAACAATGGAAATTCAGAAACAAAACAACATAATGAAAAATTAATTTTGTCAAGAAATCAACAATCAATATCTTTAATCGTCTTTTAATTGTCTTTTATCTAATTCAATATTACTGTCAATGGATTGCTGAGAGGGAAAAGCTGAAAAGCTGAAAAGTTGAAGGGTTTATCCTTTACCTGCTTGATTCTTCAGAGATTCTTTGAGATAGTCTAGGATTGTCCGTTAGGTTTGTTTGCTAGGTGGCTTGCTAGGTGGCTTGCTAGGGTTTGCTTGTTAGTTTTGTTCGTTAGGTTTGCTTGCTGAGGTTTGCTTGCTAGGTTTGTTCGCTAGGTTTGCTTGCTAGATTTGCTTGCTAGGTTTGCTTGCTAGGGTTGCTTGTTAGGGTTGCTTGCTAGGTTTGCTTGCTAGGGCTGCTTGTTAGGTTTGCTTGCTAGGTTTGCTTGCTAGGTGCTTCTTGTTAGGTTGCTTGCTAGGTTTGTTCGCCAGGGGCTGTTTGTCAAGTATGTCTAGCATTATCATTTTCCAGAATAATTTTTCTCTAGCAAAGATTTGTTAAGTTGCTCGGAGTATTTGATTACCGTAAATACTGTAATAGTACCCCACCCCCCTCGTACAGACGCGTAGTCGCAAAAGTTTTTTAGTCTTTCATTTTTTTTCAAAGCACCCGTACTTTCAAAAAATGCGTCTTTGGTATCAAAAAATAGCCCTGAATTTCAGCTATTTTTTGATACCTAAGCGCGCCTTGTAGCATAAACCAGTGTCGAGAAAAACGCGTCCAAAGCTAGACTACGCAACGCTCCGCACCGTCATTATGGGGGTGGGTATTACAGTATTTACGTCTCGTAAGTACGTAAGTTGAGTCTTGCCTCGCTATTCAAAAGTTCCAAAAGTAGATAAGCTCTTCCAAATAGACTCTGGCAAATCCCAGAACACCGAGAGCATAAACTCTTTCCTATTTACATTTATCATGACGTCATTTTGAGGTTTTTTTCCCTGTCAGCAATCCATTGAAAGATGAGTGACGCAAGAAAGATTGAAACGCGTTTCTGGGTGTCTGTTAAGTCATGTGGAGTCCATAGCGTAAAATAACGTGTCGCAGATGTCTAGTTGGCATGAATAGCCACAGTAAAAATTGCCAAAATTTCGAAATAACAAAAAGTGAAGAAGTTTGCTTTTCTTGTTTTTGAAAAAGTGTTCTTGACTCAGTTTCACGCCAAAGCCTTCAACCTCTATTTTATTAGAGATCAATGAGAAGAATAGCGACATTTCTTACCCATCAACTCAATATAATACTAACTTACGCAACTAAAATCGCTTCGACTCAAAGACCCTAACTAAACGCGTCGATAAAAGACGAAATTTAGGTACTGAAGGCGGATGGCCGTATTGGATTTTGAGGAACTCTTGGGGAAAAAATTGGGGCGAAGATGGATATATTAGGGTAAAGAATTTCAACTTAACCATTGATCACTCATTGGCGGTGATCACGTTGGGGAAATTGGCTGAACACCAGGCTTGAACCGTCTCTTTATAGGCCATAAAGGTCTTCCATAAATGCCATAAAGGCCATAAAGGTCATAAAGGTTCAATTTCAACTTGCTTTTCAGCTTTTGCCTTTCAGCTTTATCCCCTTTTTTTCTGCACAATCAAAGAAATTCTTTTAGATATGGGCAGGGGAAAATTTGTGGAGTCGAGTCTCGATATTTGGACAAGCACAAATTGATTGGGTCTATTAGAAGTGTGATTGCAAATGAGTTTTATGAGTTTTATGAGTTTTATTTTTGAGTATCATTGTACCCTCTTGACTCCAGAATAGCTTAATTAAATAAAATGTTGCTTTTCAGCTTCTTAGCACCAATTGCTCAATGTTAGTTTATCGTTTATCGTCCATTTCGATTCCCTGATAAAGGGAGAATTCTGTCCTGCTTTGTTCTTGTTTCAATCGATATTTGAACTGTTGTGGTTGACTAAAAATTGAAAGATTTTGAAAGATTCATTCAATCAAATTCAAAACTCAAATATTCAACATTCTTTGAGTAGTTTAATGATTGAATCTTTTGGATTTTAATGTTTAAATTTTAATGTTTAGATTTTAATGTTTAAATTTTAATGTTTAAATTTTAATGTTTAAATTAATTTTTGATTTCAATCTTTAACCCATTCGAAACTTCTGCAGCGAATAATCGCTGCAGCAAAACTCAGGAACGGACCGCTGCAGCGATTATTCGCTGCAGCGCTAATTAAGCTTATTTTCATTCAATTAATTGGTTTTTTATTTGCTGTTTTTCAGCATTACATGTATATTCTAATTGTAACAGATCTACAAATTACGTGGGCAAAAAAGACGTGTCATATTTACCCGGAAGCAATGCAGCCTCTGATTTGGCATTGAAATGTTCCATAACAGCTCTAATCTTATAAAGCCGATCTCCTGCAGGATCCAGTTCATTATCACAAAAATGCAGGTTTCGAAGAATAGATTCAAATTTTGCTCTTGACATAATGTGGAATATGTGGGAAAATCCTCCTAATCCAGGCCTTCTACTCCAGTAGTCACGAATCTCGGTAATTTGACGATTCCCATTTGAAGATACAGAGCCAAGAAGAGCTTGAAGGATTTTGCATCGAAATCCTACCAGTTTGTTTTCCTTTTTCCATGATTATTAGATTCGTCTACTAAAATATTGTCGTCGATAAAATAAGAATAATAATCGATAGGATCTTGAAAAGTACTGGAAATCAAATCCAACTCGTTCTTCATCAAAAATAAATGGTGTAGAAGACCTCGTCAATCTTTCCAACCATCTGGATGAACTGCTTCGACGCATCGTCATCCACTTCCTCGGATTCGCTTGAACTTGATGAAAATACTTCTGGTTGAATTAGTCGATCATCTGATCATCTGATCTGATCATCTGATCCATCAATAGACTCCAAATCACTGTCAATAAATAAATTATTAAAAGAATCGTTCAATCTGTCATCCATAACGCTATTTAAAAGAAGAATAACTTAGATTAATATATAGAAATTATCAAAAATAATATAAAACAAAAGTCAGCAAAACTGCGGGAACGGACTGCTGCAGCGATTATTCGCTGCAGCGAAAAATGTCAAAAAGGGCTTGGTGCAGACAGTGCCGCAGACAAAAAGAAGAAAAACGCTGCGGCTTCGAATGGGTTAATCATTGAATATCGAAAACTTGAGCTTGAAAATACCTTCGGATTTAGTGTTGAGTCATTGACAGCATTTTTCTGTATGAAGAAAATACTCTTGAATAAATAACCCTGATAACTATCATAGCAAATCAACAAGACAATTGTGGCGACAGTTCCGTGAAAACACGCGATACTTGTTGGATAAATTGAATATTCTAATTTTCTTTAATAGTCTTAAAACTTTTTTCTCTAAATCAACCTGTCAACCAAAATCGTTCATCGTAACCAATGTAAAAATACCAGAAAAATGGTATAAAGACGCATGCCATAACAGATGCTATCTAAAATAAAGAATTCATACAACTACAACATTTTCATTCAATTGTTTCATTCAATCCTTTTACCCAATTCTCTTTTTTTTTACTTTTTTCGATCATTTCTTTTTTTCGATCCGTTTTTATTAATAATTTGTTCTTTTAGGTTCAATGAGCAACCACGAAAGCTGGAATGACTTTGCTTGGCTGGGCTGGAATGCTGGGATGACTTTGAAGCTTTAAAATCGACGTGAGCACAAACTAAACGAATTCTTTGAACAAGGACAAGAATATCAACGAGAATTGAACGAAGGATTACACGAAGATTCGGACAAAGAAGAAAGACAAAGACAAAGTTCATCGCTTAGACTTAGGCTTATTGAGCCACTGCCAGATTCTATTAGGTTGATGCAAAAGTCTTTTTCGTTTTTTTCGTACTTCCGTTAAAAAAGTAACAAATGCACCAATTGAACAACGGTTTATTGCATTCGAAAGGCCAATTATTTTTCTGCAAAATGACATTAAAACGAGTTTAAAATGTCTTATGTCTAGATTTTTTTGGAGAGCCTGAAGTCGGGTAGTCAAAAAAGGCGACGGCTCGATGATGCATTTTAGACGCTTTAGCTAAGGAAACCAATCTTGATGTTAATAAATAAAAGATAGAGCACAAAAAAGTTAGATATTTTTTTCAGATTTTCAGAGAAATTGATTCAGCCAATTTCTTTATAGAGGTTTTGATAGATTTTTATGAAAAAACCCGTTTTCACTCTCGGAATTTGCTTGAAAGTGAACCCAAATTGACTTAAAAGATGGGAAATTCAACAATAAACACTTTTCATTTAGAGCAAACCATAGGTTAATTGATGACTTTGTTATTTTTCAAAAGAAGTACGAAAAAAATGAAAAAGACTTTTGCATCAACCTAATAGAAAATTGATCGAGCTTGTTTTCAATGTTAAGCGACTAATTCTCAAACAAACGAGCTGAACAAAATGCCGGCAAAAAGGAAACGTCAATGGCGGCGGAAGCGCTTGACCTCAAAAGAGATTGATGAAACTTTGGTAATATGGATTCTTGAAAAAGGAGTGAAAAAAAGCAAGTGATCCGTCGAATCTGGAACGAAGCGGCTAATGGTTTTGCTGATGCAGATAATCTCATCAAAAGAAGTCTGTTGGATGGAATAGTTTCAAAAGCAGCCCCAATTGTCATTGAGATCGGCGACCACAACATGTCAAAAGCTTCCTAGCGTAGAGAAAGTGCTTGTCAAACATTTCCTGAAACAAGAAAATCGAAGAGAGCACTTTCGAGCACACAAGCATGTGACGAAACGGCTGTTTGGCTCGATTCTTCAAGTATGTTTGATTTTACTGTTATTTTCTTTACTTTTAAAGATTTTGATTTTGTTTACCTGAATGTACAAATTTCGGAGCCATTTCTTCTGAAATTGGTACGTGCTCTGGCTCATCCAGCGTTGCTTTTGGAGGCTGTGGACAGCGGGGATGACCAGACCTATACATAGTAGATTCAAGCTTTTTTCGAGTTTTTCAGCTTTTCGTAATCCGGCCTGATCGATTGACGAGACTCACTAAAAAGCAGAAAAAAAACGATCAAAAATCTACTCACCCAATACGCCCAAGCCGATCCCACTCACATACACGCTACTTACAACCATAGTAGCGTATGGCGATCGAGAAGAGCAAAGACTCGGTTGCTCAATGAAATGGCGCAACGAAGGGTAACACGAAAAGATTCTTTTTGTAAAATCAACAAATCCGCTTTGTGCCGCACTTTCTATCCCACTTTATGCCCTACTTTGTTACTCTGGATTAGCCATTTCATATGCATTATCTTGTCAAAGTTCGAGCATAATTGGTTTAGCCGTTTTTTCTAAGATCACAAACAGTTAGTCATAATAAGTAGGTTACAGTTAATTGTGTAACTTACTTGAATCGATGATTCTTTGTAAGAAGTATTATCGTCCATATCTGTCATGAGAACCATTACAGTTGTTGCAAGAAGTGGATTTACCACAAAAACAGCTGGATGAGACGCTTTCCCCTTAAAAAGTCTTTTCAAATGGTTTCTTTGGTTTAAAAGGTATGAGAATCTTTCTAAAAGTTAAATACCTTCTTTGAAGTTTCAATATATGTGCTTCATCCAAAATGGATTGTTGCTTCTCGAGCAGAGTGCCGCCAATGGCCATAAGAAAATAAAGTATGATTAGTATGGCTGTGAACTTAAAAGGTAATAAATAAGGAACTGAAGAGATGGGTTTTCTGGGATTTGCTTAGCAGATCAGAAAATACGTTTATTTCTTTTTGCGCAAGCTTGTAATGCTCTGCGCGGCCTCAACTTCTAACAACTCTACTCCAAATTCTTTCCTAACCCCTTGAACGCATCCGTTGACTTGATAATCGGTAGCAATACCCAGAAAATAGATCCCAAAAACGGGAAAGACAAAAACTGGATAGGAAATGTTTAGGCGTAAAAAATCAAACACAGTCCCATTGAGCTGTAATGTGGAATGAATGCTAAAAATAAGGAAAGCAGAGTGACTAGAGAAGCTCGGAGCCACACCATTTTGTTTCCATGTGATTATTTTAGCATTTGTAGGAGATAAATAGTACAAACTTTTAGTTAGGCAAGTCAATTTTAGTTAGCCTAGCCACCAGCCAAGCCATACCCATCAACTCAATACATCGATACACCAACTTTAGTAATTCGAATCTCTTCTTCACCAACATACCTGCAGAAATGATAAGGAAATATTTATAACCTCGAGACGCTTTGGCGTCGCTGTAAAAATAACCCAACAGCCGAAAAGATTGATGAGAAAGCATGGAACTGGAGGAATGAGATTTGATGAGTTTCAATTTTGAGCTTTCAAAACTTACCACCGCAAAGGGCAAAGAGTTTGTCGAAAGTCGGGATACCAACTGACATCAACGGGCACAATCAATGCAATAGCGGCTGAGGAGAGGTTGGAAGCGGATCGGCTGACAAAAGGATTCCATTCAGTAAAGTTCTCTCAAGGCGAAACTTTCGAATATTTGGAAGCCAATTGATTTCTTCACACAGAACAAGAAAGAACAAATGGAAAAATGAAATATTTTTGTGAGCAAATGTTTTTAACTGAAACAGGTGAAGTGTTTTATATATTGAAAAGGATCTTTGCTTAGTAATATTGATTAAACTGAGGCGTGGTTACTGTATCAATGAATTTCCTAGGAGACCTTTGAAGTTACATTTCCTAGGAAACCCTTTGAAACGATTCAGGGCGAGATTCAGTAACCTTGCTTCAGTTTAAGTATTCAGTTTAAGCTTAAGTTTAAGTTTAAGTTTAAGTACGCTTAGGTATTGAATCAAAGTACAGGGTGCGGCATAAGTATGGTTACAGACTCAGAACGGTGTATTGTAATGAAATATGAACGGATGGATCAAGTTTTGTCGAAATCTCGACATGACATTTCAAAATTCGGCTTTTTTATGATAAGGCAGAACAGCAAAGATGACCCTCCAACAAATCGAAGAGATGAGCTGAAACTTCTACCTCACGCCCTATAAAGCCCTGATCTGACCCCATCAGATTACCACTTATTCAGGTCTCTAAAGCCGTTCATCTCCGATTAGCTATTCAGGAGCTGTTAGCTTGTTCACTTCCCAGGAAGTCGAAAATGCGGTCACTAGCTATTTTTCGTCAGAAAGTCCCCAGTTCTTTGAAGATGGAATTATTGAATTGAGCAAAAGATGGCATGATGTCCTGAATAATAATGGAGAATACCTTTATATTAATCCTCTTTATTTATTGCTTTTTGAAATAAAAATTCGGGTCAAAAAAAATTGCATTATTTTCCCGCCAACCTAATATTAGGCTGTTAACCCAAAAGGGCGCTTTTTGTGCATAAAGGTTTTTGGAATAATTACAAAGATCGCATTCAAGATTTTCTTTGTTTTTCTTGTTTTTCTAATAACTTTTACAATTTTTAATCAAATATTTTGGTTTAGGTTTCCATTCTGGGAGCAATGCCAACAACAAATCGACCCACCCCGGAAGTATGGCAATAGGATTTGCACCATCGCTATCAACAACACAAATCTGCCGCCGAATCAGCTCGGGAAATCAACGATTTTTATGGATTCAAAGTTGTGACTACTCGCACAGCCCAAAATGGTTTCAAAAGTTTCGGAATGGCCGAACAAACATGAAGAGGAAGAGTGGAAGCGGAGGCCACAACAAGATTAATCGTCGTATTCTTTGGCAACGACTACGGCAAAATCCTGAAGGTACGGCACGACAACTTGATGCGGGTCTTTTTCGCACGTAACCATGTGGGAAATATTTGAAAAATCGGGCGCCGCGGAGTAAAGCAACAACAAATTCCTCATCGACTGACTCCAGCAATCAAAGCCAAACGAGCCTCTTCAGTGCGGCCGCCTCTTGAGCAAATATCGTCATGGACTACTTCCATTGGATACAATAGTAACACACGACTCAAAGCTGGTCTTTACGATGGAAGCTGGTCTTTTATGAATGAAAAACTTGGGTTGGTCTTTTGAATTTGTGTTCAAAAATTTCCAGACCAACCAGATAAATCCAGAAACCCCTCGTTATCAAAGTGTTTTTACAAAAAATTCAACCGGGCTCGGTTATGAGATGTGGATATTCGTCTAGTTTTGGTCTGCAGCAGAAAAGGTTTGAGGCCTCTTTGTTTCGTTTATAGCTCCTTGATCCATTACCTTATATATGGGTATGGATCTTCAGTCACACCGTGTTTTTTTTATCGGCCTATCGCAGGTGCTCTTGCGCAGGTGCTTTATTGAGTTCACTACATTTCTCAATGATCCTGGAGAAAAATGGCGCATCACGTGATTCCCAGGTGAGGACCTGCGGTGGGCCGATAAAAAACACGGTGTGACGCAGGTCACTTCCCGGCCGCGCATCACGGGCTAGTACGGACGTTTAAATATATTTACTTTTTTATTTGGCTGTTTTCTGTGTAGCAGATATCAAATTTGAGCCACATTGAACATTTGTTTTTCGCTGCCAGGAGAAAGAGGGCGAGGAACGACTTTTGTGTTGAACTCTTTAGAAAACTGTGAATATTCAATTTATCTTAACAAGTTTCGCGTGTTTTCACGGAACTATTCTTAAGCACTTTTCTTGTTGATTTACTATGATAGTTATCGGGGTTATTTATTCAAAAGTATTTTCTTCATACAGAAAATCGCTGTCAATAACTCAACACCAAACCCGAAGGTGCTTTTCAAGCTCAAGATTTCGATATTCAATGATTAAAGATTCAAATCAAAATGTCAGACATTAAAATTCAAAGATTCAATCTTTAAACTATTCAAAGAATGTTGAATCTTTGAATCTTTGAATTTAATTGGATGAATCTTTCAAAATCTTTCCATTTTTAGTCAACTACAAATAATTTCAAATATCATCGATTAAAGCAAGAACAAAGTGGTGACAGAATTCTCCCGTTAAAAAGGATTCAAAATGAACGACAAACGATAAACTAATGATACATGAAATGATTTGAATTTGTGAAGCTCAAGCGGTAAGAGGAAATGTTCATCTGCTTCTTTACTAAGATTGTTTTTACTTATTTTTGTCTTAGCTTTTTAGCTATAGCTTTTTGTCTATTTCTTTTTAAAATATTCGTTATTCTTTAGTGAATAAAATGCGTGTCGACAATCATATCCATCTTCGCCATATCATGCTCTACCACTTCGAAAAGGGCTATAACCTCTGCCGCAGAGCTTCTGTTTCATGATCTCAAAGAACTGGAGAAGCCCTAACGGACTACCACGTCAATCGATCGCTCAAAAATTGGCAAACAAATAAGATCCACAACGATTTGGATGACTTGATAGGACGATGTTAAAGCGTGGATTGCTCTCCAAAGATCGTTTATTCTTCGCTCGTGGAATCGATCGTCTTCCAAGCAAATGGCAACCAGTTATTGATGTAGGCGGTGAATATGCCTCCAGAATAATCAATTAAACACATTTTTCTAACCATTTATGTTATTTTTGTTAAATAAAATCATTTATAAAAAAGAAGTCCGGATAATTATGCATCAACCTAATAAATGTTCATCGCGACAAGCTTGACCCAAAACCGCTGGGGTTTTTTGATTTGTTCAGATATATTCATTTTAGAGCCTTGGAAAGAAAAACTTAATATAGAAAAATTTGACAAAACGCACTTTGGCTCAAAATTGAGCCAGATGTAAAATTTCAAATAACTACGTGATTTTTGAATTCTCCATAATTTTTTGCATCTAGCGCGCATTTTTACAGAATTTTTTGTTAGAAAACACTTTTTTGCCTTATTTCTTGCGCTGATGTGCGTGGAAGCACGTGCTTTTGAAAGAAGCGACGGAAAGAAAATCTGAAAAGAAAAAGAGCAAAAAGAAGAGGAAAACAGCAAACACAATTTATGCTATTGCTTTGAAAATCAAAAATAAAACTCATTTGCGATCACACTTCTAATAGACCCAAACAATTTGTGCTTAATCCAAATATCGAGCCTCCATTCCACACAGATTTTCCCTTACTCCATATCTAAAAGAATTTCTTTGTTTTTAGCAGAAAAAGGGGGAAAAGCTAAAAAGCAAGTTGAAATTCTTTGTTCTAAGATTTTAGATACGTAAATTATTATTA